GTGAAATAACAGGAGATGCATACGTCTTCCAAGGCTGCGGAGTCTTATCTGCTGTTATGAACAGCAGCTTCATATATTTCATTGCCTTGAACTGGGAGGTGAGATTAGGAAAACTGAGAAGCAGATAAGATACGAGAGAGAAGACAAAAACATAAGTCAGACTCAATTAGCCGGTTGGCCTCAGAAGGCCTCACTCAAAGGAAAATACAGTTCTGGGTACATCGTGGACGGATCACTCTTACAAAAACTGACTGATAACTCCAAAAATAACATCCAGGTTATTAAAAGAGAGAGAAGTGTTTGAGACCTTTAAACACACCTGACTGAGTCATGTTAAGTCACTGCTGATGACAACCCAACGTCTCCTGATTTTGCTACTTCAAAGAAAAAGCTTTTTAACAGACAAAATAATAGGAGACTTGTATTTTGAAGAATTTATAGGGAAATGTGTTTATCACATAATTAGGAGATCTTTGTTTGCGGCTATTCCATTAAACAAGCCCGATAATACTGCAGGGAGGAAGAGTAAGCAGTAAAAATAATGGGGGACTTTTATTGTGTTTGGACACAGCTGAGTTGCCTTGAGAAGACAACACCACCAAAGAGAAAACAAACACAAGTTATAAGACAGTCTGAGAAACAGTCACTGGGAAAACGTCCGAAAGGGATCAACGGATCCAAACATGATGAATTATTGGACAATCGTACTGTAGCTCTTGACAAACCTACAGCCGCTTTACGAAGCCTCATCACCCACAACTATTCATACTATCAGAATAAACTTCAGGGCATCATCGTCAACTGTTGAATAAAGCCCAAAATGTCCGAGAAGTAAACCTTTAAACTACATGTAAGAATTTAGTTTTGATGGAACTTGGAGGTCTTCTGTACAATAAAGACGTGACATGAAGCATTTTCCTTTTCAGCACCCTTTTTGTCCTTCGACACAACGCACACTCTGCTGCCGTTTCCATAGGAACCAGAGTCACAAAGGCAGCGTGTGACCCTCCTCCTACTCATGACGGTTCATGGATGTGGACCCGACTGCCAAGAACATAAACATGTATTCCTCTCACGGAGCAGTGCTTCGTGTCAGTGCGTCTCGCAGCTCGTACATACGGCCTGCAGTCAAACGTAGTAAAGAGTTATTCTGTTTGTGTGCCACCCGGAGCCGCGTACGCCCCCCCAATGATCAATGAAGAAAAAGGGCGTTATTAATCTGATGAAGCGTCTGAGTTATGCCTTCATTAAATTTCATCAGGACTAATTAGTGTCCCGTCCTTGAGATGTGCGACCCTGTAACCTCCTTCCACTGGTGAGGCATCCATACTTGTATCATCTTCAGTCAGGAGACTCAAAAGATGTAATCTTATCTTCCCCCCCCTCCCCCCCTCTACATCTCTTGTTCCAAGAACTGTGCAAAAGATTATCTGTGACTCTGGTGCACATTCAAAAATTGCAGCCTCCTCATTCATTTGAATGAGGGCAGTCAGTTTACCCAGCGGGGGCACAAGGTCATCAGCCAAATACCTTTTGGTTGGGGAGAAGGACTTCCGCCATTCAGCCAATGTTTAGTCGGCTACTAACTCCAAAAAAGATTGACATTGACAAAGATAATGCAGACTTAATAGTTATTATGAATAGAGATGTTCCAATACCATTTTTTTCTTCCCAATGCCAATTCCAATACCTGACTTTGCCAATCGTTCGAGACAAAAATATGTTTATGATTTGATTTGTAGATGGGGAAATAGTACACAAAGCCATGGTCCTTGAACTTTAAGCTCCTACGCAGAACTTTTACATGTGTGCTGCTTTTGGCAGTCTCAGTGGATTAAAGCTGTCTGAGCGACAGAGTCCCTTTTAGAAAACCTCTCATTTTACTGCACCAGCGTCTGACACTCGGTCCTGGTTCTGGTTCTCCCTTGCGGCGGTGATCGGCTCCCGGCTGGAGCAGGAGCTCTCCGGAAAGCGTTTCTGGTGAACCTGCGTTATTTGATCTGATTTTGTCAGAATCGGACCCGGTTGCACCGATGACAAGTGTTAGCTATACAGCCAATATTGTCGCTGACGGTGTTGTTTACTTATGTGGGTCATACAGAGGCATCGGTAGGAAATAGAAACCGTTTCACAACCAGTTAAAAAGTTTCTAACCGTAACTTTGATGTGTGTTTTTAAATGTATGACCACCCCGCCCCTTCTACCCAGTGTGGTCCACTGCAGACAGACAGATGTTACAGATGTGGGTTGAGGAAGAGGAGGAGGAGAGTGACCGGCTGTAAGGACCATTTCTTCCTCGCCGCCACGCACCGGCAACTCCTCTCGAGTGAGATATAGAGTTCCTACACCGACATTCACAACACCACACGCTTTATCCGTCACTCGAGCACGCCTCTACAAAGAGAATTCATGCATGTTCCTTTCGGGTCCCTCATCAAACCTTCTCCATTCCCTCTTTGGTCTCCGTGCAGCTATGAAACTTTATACGCGAGCACACAACAGCCACATCTGCACTACACAACTTCCACGTGAGTCCCACATCGTAATTAGATCAGAAGTTTACACGGAGAGCTTCACAGCCACAGCGGGACACTTTGCCTCCCGCTGCTCTTCTCCCGAATTTCACGAGCACACACACACACACACACACACACACGCACACACACACACATTCCTCCATTGTGCTCTTTCTACAGAAATTGTTAAATCGGTTTAACTGATAAATATGTTAAAGTTGAAAAAAGGTCTGGATGCCACAGAATGCACTGCTACAATTCTGCTGAAAAGAGGTATTCCTTTGTGTTTTATCTGTGTGTGTGTTCATTGTGATTCTGCGTTCCCACGGTCCCACGCGTCTGACGTTCCCACTCAACTAGGGAAACCGTTCTCTCTTTCTCTCTCTCCCTCTCCCTCTCTCTCTCCGCGCGCTGAAACTGTGCCTCTATAAATTCAACCCTTTCGTTGTGTTTGGAAGACGTCGTTAAAAGACATAAAAATTTCACCGGGGGTTTTACAACGCAACTTGCTTAATTCAATCAGTGTAATAGAAGTGGAGTCACGTGGGACTCGCCTTTACCTCCGCGACACACAAAACTTTATTCGATTTGAAAGAAGCAGAAGCACATGATATGGACATAGTTCGTCACCTGAAGAAATCAATCCGACTTTCTCTACTGGGTTTACTCCGGCCTGGTCGTTGGAGTTACAAAGACGTTCACACTGTGTGTTTAGGTGATTAATCAACACATTACTTAAGTCTATAAACCCAACCAAGTTCCCAACCTTTTCCACTTTTGCATCCCTAATCGCAGGCTGCAAAAACACAGTGTGTAGTTTAGACTTGAGCGAGAGTATAAAGAGGGATTTTTCATTCATAGATGATTTGATTTGGAAGATTTTCAGAGGCCTAAAGATGGAAAATTGGGAATAAATACTGTAACGGCTGGCTTCTACAACAACATCAATCTCTGTGACGTGAGCCCCGGTGGTTACGAGATTGACTGGAGCGAGTCCAAGAGGTCGAGCGTCCGGCTGCAGAGCGGCGGGTCGATCAGGCGGTACTAATGGATTAGTAAAGTCCAGCTAGATGCTCCGATATCTGTCAGCTGCTTCCAACGTGTCTCCTTAAATAAGTAACGCGCAGCAGCGATCGATACGTGGCGATCGGGCTCGCTGAACATTCAACCGGCCCGAGATCAATAGCACTTAGCGTCCCCTCTCCCAACCCCTACATAGCTTAATGTGACAGAGGAGGACTGATGGACTGGAGACAGAACATCAGCCCGAACCTCCGCCACGCACCTCTCAGAGAGGCTTAGCAAGTGTCAAACAAAAACATCTGCCTCTCTACTCTAAAAGCAGATCCTCACATTGACGTTTCCCATCGACACACACAAGTGTAAAAGAGGAGCGGTGAAGATCTCCGACGTGCTGTGCAGGAGAACACTCCCGTCTGGCTCCGCTGCCAAGACTTCCCTCCAGCCAAAACGCCGCCTGGTGCCAGAAGTCACTCGAGCGTTTTTTTTTTATTTTTGTGCGCGCGGAGGGCAAACACCACGCAGAGCGCCTCAGCATTAGAAACAGTACCACGCCTGGACCAGTGACCCATTCACTGCTTCACTGGGTGATGATGGGATCCATATGAAAACACTTATGTTTTCTTTTCTTTTTTTCTCTTACTATTCTGGAGAATTTATGCAGGAAAACTGTGCCGGAGCACACTTTTTACATTTGGAGCGAAAATTCAGAAGTCGTGCACTTACACACATTTGCTGCAGAGAGCTGCCAAACACAACCAGAGCCTTGAGTGAGGGGTGGGAGTGCGTTGCTCAGGGGGAGATATTCGGCCAAGAACTACTGTTTATTTTTTCTTTATTTTATTTTTTTACAACCACAGTTATCAAACTGGTTCAGCCAGCATCTACAAGTTGGATTTTTTTAAATTACAAAAAATATTGAAAAGTTAATATCTAATGTCTTTTGTACGGCGATTTGTTATCTTATGTACTTATTATTTAATATCACTCTTTTTAAAAGATTTTAAGACTATTTTATCATGATACAAAATAATGTACAGATGATTGTGTTAATATTTTAATACGTACATCTATAGGTGACTATAACAAAGTAAAAAGATAACTTAACATTTTTGATGGTTTACAGACTTTAGAGCGGTTGAAATGATTTTTGGGAGCGTGGCAAAAAAAAAAAAAAAAAATAGTGTGGAGCCTTGTAGACCAGCTGCTATAATCAAACATTAATAGGGATCAGCAATGATCGGCAGCAAAAAAAAAAAAGCATGATCAGGGATCTCTAAAAGTTATATTTGCTCCCTTTTTTTCCCCCTTTTGTGCTGATCCGATCTGTGATCCGAACCGTGAGTTTTATGATCCGTTGCACCACTACTAATTTTCTAAAAGGAAAAACACGTCTTCCGTTAACAGTGGGACAGCAACAAAGAGAGAGGAGGACAACATGAAAAGAGTGGAGTGCCAACTCACTGCATCCGTCCTCGTCGCTGTGGTCCCCGCAGTCATTGTCTCCGTCACACTGCCACTGGGCCGGGATGCAGGTACACTCCCCGAACGCACTGACCGCACACGTGAAGTGGTTCCTCCCACACGAGCACTCGGCGCTGCCCTGGACTCCTGCACAGAAAGAGGAAGAGAGGGTTAGGGGCTAATCACACATGTTCAAGTTCGCCAACTTTGTTTTCTTGCGATCCTGCAAGGTATACGTCATTTTCCCACCAACTTTTACTGACTGAAGGTGAAAGTATACCCTGCCTCCGTACCCTGACGACACGACATTTAGCAGAAGAAGGAGTCAGACAGGGAGGACGTTTACTGTAACACACATGACAGGACGGTGGTTCTGAAACAATGTACTTGTGCGGATGGGGGGCAGCAGCAAAACATATTTTAGTTACCTCAAATAAAGTCCCGCCAAAAGAATCAGTATCAGTTAAAGTGTTCGCTATATTTAGAGCATTTTCGCCTGTTTACCTCACCGTGAGGCAGCTATAAAGACTTGTCTTTCTGAAAGGGAACTGAAGCCGCCATCGCTGCTCTCTCGATAGGTTTGCTTGTTTATGTGATTGTCTGACTTTGGTTAGTTTGGATTCAACAAAGTCAGACAATAACACAAACAAACTAACCAATCAAGGCAGCAGTACACCAGCAACTCCTGAGTTCTGCGAGAAAAAAAATACCCCCCCCCCCCCACCATTGGAGTCTGGTGGCTTTGGCGAGAGCATAGAAGGGCTATAGTTCCCCGTCGGAAACGTCTGTTTCACGGCAGGGTAAACAGACGAAAATATTCTAAATATATTTTACACTTAAAGTTATGTTGATTTGTTTTTTGGTGGGCCTTTCTTTTAGGTGGCTAAAACATGTTTTGCTGCTGTACCCCCTTCACATCGATGTGTGTCTAGTGTACTTCAATTCTCTACTTGATTTATGCTGCTCCATGTCCTCAACGTGCAGGCCTTACTGTAATATTCAAGGTGCAACAATGCCTGTTTAAAAATTATCTGAACTGGATCAAACTAGAAACAATCATGGTACACTTATTTTTGTAACTTTAATCTGACCCCAATCCAAGTCCAAAGTCTTCAGCAGAACAGTGACAGATTAAGCCCCTCTGGCAGATGTATGAACACTAACTAGCTAACGTAATACTAACACACTGCAGTGGTAGTCAAAATGGCAAGTCAGTCCGAGTATCGGGCTGCTTTTACTCCGCTTTCTTTCTTTTAGCATTAAGCTGCATTTGCTGGGCCGCTTTCTCCCGTGCCGCTTCTCTGTCAGCGCTCCAACGAGCTGTGTAGCGTAAACTGCAGCCTAATACGCTCCATAGCCACAGACTATGCCACCATGTTGAAATGAGACTTCACAGTCCCTCTGAGGGCAATAAACACGCCCCGTCTTCATAGGAATGGCTTTCATTAACTGAACACAGAGAGAGACGCCATCATGGCCGTCAGTATAACAGCAGGCACTTTTTAGCTTCTCAGGGTCAGGAGGTCTTTTTTAAATCTGTGTAAATTTGAATGTGTTAACGAGTACCGTGATGTTTCCTGTTAAGATGCTGTGTGATCAGTAGGACGAGCGTCTTTCAAAAGACAACCAAGGGATTTATTTAGAAGATGTTTTTGTTGAAGGTTCTTTCTCATCCTCAAAAGAAATGATCGATATGACAGTGTTGCTGGACTGTGGTGACACCTGATTAATGAGGTGATCAGTGAGGTTTGGGAGTTAACATATAGAATTTAGCCACTTTACCTGTCTGACAGAAAACAAAGGTTCCACTCAAAACCTTTATTTCCAAGGTGTACCGTTATCAGTTCAGTGTAAACTGTTGGGATACTATACTCATTTAGTGTCACCACACATTCTTCATTACTGCCATATGTAATCTCACTGGACAAACAGAGAAATGTCTACTTGTGGACCCTTCACGGTAGTTACAATCCTCTACGTGCTGCGAGCAGTTAGCCAAAGAATAAATCACTTCTGCTCTTCCCCTTAGAGGCCATAGAATTCAATCCAGAAATCCTGAAGAAAAGAGCAAAGATGAGAGCTACGTCTGGGGGAAAATGTTTTTCTGCTTTCCTGTCCTGTTACAGCCATCCACAAAATAGATAGAGGGCTTTTACTGCCCTGACCCGAGCCTCCCAGGTAGCAGAGGGACTTCTGTAAACAGCTTTAAGACCTAACAAAATCTATCAAACATCTTCAACCTCCCTCGACTGCAAATCAACTTATTTTGATTAATAGAAGATACAATTATATTACATGTATAATAAATACATATTAGTTCTGTTCTTTAGCTTACTGGCTCTTTAAAATGTCCCTGTTTCGCCGACATTGTGCATATGTACACAGACAAACACGGTATCCTGAAATACATAGTCAAACACACACACAACCACAGGTCCATACGTTCTGTACACTCTGTGTTTTCCTCTGCTGTGGTGGGAAATTGGAGCAGAGTCACCACATCTTCAGACGCATCACAGCAAATCACGTCCAGGAGAGGAAATAAATAAAGGTTTCCCATTTTGCCCTCAATTTGAAGACCATTAATGACCATCTGTGTGTGTGTGTGTGTGTGTGTGTGTGTGTGTGTCTGTCTATTTTGCTGAAACTGGCCTGCTGCAACAAACCCTGAGTTTCTTGGAACGTGTATGCGTGTATGTGTGTGTGTGTGTGTGTGTGTGTCCTGGCCTCCTCACAAAGGCATCAGTCAACCCAGGAGGGCCTGGCAGAGAGCTCAGTAACCTTCAGATCCCTCCCACAGCACTAAATTAATGGCCTCTTTCTTTTCATTCCCCTCTCCTTCTCCTCCTTCTTGTCTTTCCACCATCCCCTCTTCACACTTCCCCTTCAGCTGCCTCCCTTCCCCACTTCTTTTCCTCTCCCCTTCCCCACGCTTCAAGAACCCTCCGCTAATGGGAGGGAAACGGTTTACATCGTTACCCGAGTCTTCCTGTCTGTGAAGTTGTCTTTCTATAGTTCCTGCAGACCTCCGACCTCAGACCTCGGGGGCATGCGGTTTACCTCTAGAGAGATAGACAGGGCCGGACTAAGTCCTGAAATTGAGACCGATAGTCCATATTGTAGGCTTGAGTCATAGACCGTAGATAAGAAGTGGACGTAGTCATCGTGACATCACCCGTTGGTTTGTGGACTGCCGTTATGAAGCTTCAAGTTCGGCAATTTGGCCGTCGCCATGTTGGTTTTTTTTGCAACCGATGAACAGAAGTGACTTTATAAGGAATGCGGAGGAATGCGGAGGAACGACGTAGTCACGCTCACAACTATATTGTGAAAAAAATCAAAGTTTTACAAGTGATTCAAATTGCCATCGCAGAAGACTTATAATGTCATTGATTTGCTATATATGCCCTGGAAAAAGGCAAACCCATCTCCATCACAGGTTTGTTTTATGGGTAACAAGTGTGCACTGGGGCTCATCGTAACTATCTTACACCACTGCTCCATGGCACAACATAGAGTATACTCCAGAGCCGGTGTAGGATTTGTACCTTTAAGCATATGTGTGTGTTTTATTCAGATGTGTGTGTGTGTGCGGGTTTGCACCGAGCTAAATTAGACTCTGAGAGCCGAGGAAGAAGCTGTGTCAACACGAAGCCACATCACAGACCGTGCATTTGTCAAACATGCTTTAAAAAAAAAAAAAAAAAAAAAAAAAGAAGAGGCCACAGAGCCAAAGAAACCATCGTACGCACTCGTGCTGCACACGCATGTGTTCGCACCCGGCACTCAGAATAGCAAGATCAACACACAGATTATTAGTTCAAGTATCAGGTATGAATGTATGTCACGTCCAACTGATCCAAAGAGCATGAACCCACTGAAGAAGTAAAGAGAGAATCATCGCCACTCACTGGATGGTTACGTAAGGGTCCATGCAAACACACACACACACACACACACACACACACACACACACACACACACAATGCAGCAGCAGCCAGGCATGGCAGCCCTGCGCTTTCAAGAGCGTCAGCATGACAACCCCCTGATGCATCTCGGACAGATCTGAGACTCGGCTGTTTGGGGGAGACAGTGGATCACTGTGAGCTGGAAGTGCAAGTTTGGCGACAACATATCTTTCAGTTTATTAAAGGATGTTTAAGTGGAGCAGCGGGCGCAGGCGAATCAACGGAGCCCTTAATTTATCTTAAGTATTTCTTCTTTTAACTGCGTGAAAAGCTGAGTTGAGAGAAAAAGCTGAACACAAACAGCAGCACAGTGACAAAGTGCTGCCGAAGAACAGTAGAACTTTTTCTGAACTTCTCTGCTGTTATCACGCTTCTTACAGACGACTTTCACGATTAGAAAGAGCCAGGGTTAGGGTTAGCTCCTATTTCAATTGAATAACAGCTGATGTGTTGAACTCTCTCTACAGGCCAACAGTAAGACAGACTGACAACTAAATTCTCACTTCACGTCCTGCTGCCAGAGGCCCGGTGTGTGAGCTGTGAGCCAGAGACAACCTCCAGTAGCAGAAAAGAAAACAGAGACCACCAAAGATCCTCCACTGCTGGTTCCTACAGCCTGAAACTGTCTAAACAGGCCTGGTGTGGAACGAGACAGGTGGTCCCCCCCCCCCCCCCACCCCAAAAAGGTAAACAGAGATGATCCCGCAAACCCACGCCGACACCGCGCCTAGACTCGACCCACCCACGGCAGCAGCAGCCGAACCGAGCCGGAAGACGCCACATCGCGGGAGTCTCAGATCTGACCAGGTGGCATTCAACCTCTGATTCACCGTTTCACAATTTGCTGTTGTGGAATAGTTACATGACGAGTGTGAAGAGTTTGAGGCGGGAGCAGCGGGGCCAAAACACACAATGGGTAACTCGGCCCTGAGAGCGGGTGGCCACGCGCTTTGAACGATGTCAAAAGGCTGCCAGTTAATTAGGCGTGGACCTCCCCGGAGACTACCTGGAGGGTCGGAGCCACGTCTTTCTTTCAGTGTGCAAGTGTACCGCTATAAAAAGTGATAAGCGGGAAATGAGCCATCTGACAATGTAAAGGGGGAAGAAGGGAGCACGGAGGGAATGACTCGAGCCCCTTTTGTCCCGTCCTGTTGTCTTCACCCCGACCACTGCTGGTGT